CTCTTTCCTTGCTGAAGACTAAGAACCTTCCCCTTCTTAGCCATACTCCTGCCAATGGGAATGTCTATTGCAGAGATAAGTTAATAGTGGGGTTTAGGGGATGGGGTGAGGCAAGGTGCTTAGTTAAAGCGGAGCTCAACCCAAAAGGGGAAGTTCCACTTTAAGTCTTTGTCCCCCACTCCCCATTAAGGATTGGCATCTTTGGGGAGCGGGTACCCGAATTTGACAGGTACCCGCTCTCACTTCCGCTGCGATCGTCTAGGCGATCGAAAGCGGAGGTTGTCCTCCCCCCCCCTCCCTAGGACATGACAGGTCCCAGAAGACTACAGGACCATTCACAAAGCACAGCCCTTCTTGCGCATGTGCAGTGGGTACCCGGCTGTGAAGCCGCAAGCTGTCACAGCTGGGTGCCCACACTGAAGGTGCTGGAGCCAGGGAGAGAATACGACCAGTGAAACCAGCGGTGGTGAAGACACCGCTGGACCGAGGGACAGGTAAGTGCCTGTATTTTAAAAGTCAGCAGCCACAATTTTTGGAGCTGCTGACATTTATTTTATTTTTTTTAGGTGGAACTCAGCCATTGTGCAGCACTATAGGATCACAGTCATAGGTATACCTAAGATTAAAAAGACTATAGTTCCTTTTAAATAAATGAACTGTGTGATCTATTGGTGTGCTGTATATCCCTTGATTCAACGTGTGATTCTTGCCTACTTGGATGGATGTTGTTTCTTTGGTTTATGGCATATACAAGTCATACATTTCTAAAGCTACCCAGATTTACACATCAATTTCCTAGATCAGGGCTTGAAATTTCCACTCGCCTGCTCGCCAGTGGTGAGTGGAAATTATGGTGGGGGCAAGTGTGTCCCCCAGGGCTGTCTTGCTGAACAGGCTCAGAGCTCAGGCCGGATCTGTCATTGGCACTGGGAGCCATCAGACAGCTCAATAGCTGAGAGCAGTGAAAGCAAAGCAAGGATTGTGTGCTGTGCTCTCTGCCTCCCCCTAGAGTAAAGTACCAGGAACTGAGATTGAACAACAAAGTACTGCAACTTTTTATGGTGTGTGTGTGTGTGTGTGTGTGTGTGTACGTGTGTGTGTTTTGTGTGTGTCTGTATATGCATGTACAATTGCACATGTGTCTTTCTGTACATGTGTCTGCGTGTATGTACATGTATGTGTGTGTGTGTACATGTGTCTGTGTACATGTGTCTGTGCGTGTGTGCATGTACATGTGTGTGTATGTTTGTGTGTATGTACGTACATGTGTCTATGTGTACATGTGTCTGTGTATGTATGTACATGTGTCTGTATGTACATGTGTCTGTGTGTATGTACATGTGTCTGTGCATGTGTATTTCTGTGTATGTAGATGTATCTGTGTGTATGCGTGTCTGTACGTGCCTGTGTGTGTGTACATGTGTCTGTATGTGTGTGTGTGTACATGTGTCTCTGTGCGTGTGTGTACATGTTTCTGTGTGTGTATGTGTGTATGTACATGTCTGTGTGTGTGTACAGGTGTCTCTGTTTGTGTGTGTTTGTTGGTGGCGAGTAACTCTAAGGCCTGGCTAGTAGCTCAGGACTTGAAATTTTAAGCCCTGCCCTAGATATTGAATAAATATTGTAATAGTTACTCTACCTTTATTAACTTATCTTGTTATTCTTATTCAATATTATGTAACTTGCCGCACACTGCTTTGCTGCTCCAAAGGGGTTTTTGTCAAAACTGGAGCAACCAGAATCTGGAGCAGTTTTGCATGGCAACCATTCAGATTCTATCTTCATCTTCTTCAGTTAAAGTGGTTATAAACTCTTATATATACCCAGTGAAGTGACTAGCCTCAGTTGATATACAGAGATTAAACAAATCCTCTTAGATAAGTTGTGCTTGTTTATCTGCTGCCCTCTCTTCTCTACAGAAGTTCAAAGTCCGGAATTGGCACAGCTTGTCTGAGTTTCCAGAGGCAGGGGGTGGGGATCAGAAGTCACACACTGCACAGCTGTAACCTTAGAGCTGATTGGAGAGACGGGACACACACCCTCCACACAGCACACAAGAAACATGCAGAGCTGAGGTTGTCAATCATAGGCTGTGTGCTGGAGCTCCACCCCAGACTCCCTCTTATCTTTTGGAGTCCAGAAAATAGCCATGACTCATGCAGATAACAGAGGAGTGAGGAAGCAGTCAGAAATCACACTCAGTGCTTTGGATGAGGCAAATACACACCATAAAAAAGATATGCTGACACCACTTGACTATGTTTAACATAAACTGAATTGGATCATGGTTAATGACAAGCTCATCTGCATTCTCAATAAAAATATGTTAAAATTTGACAGAACTTGAGATCCGTGGATTCAATACCTCTCTTTCCCTTAGAGGGACCATGGCTGACCCTCTTTTACTTCACTTTTTCTCTTATTATTTTTGTTCTCATTTTCTTTCTCATTCTTTCTTCATACTTTGCTTACAATATTACCTTTTGATGTATCTGACTTCAATACCTGATTACTGTTTGGTCATGCTCATTATTAATCGTTTTTCATAGTGATATATGTACTGGAATTCTGTCCATTGTAGCTGTTTATCCTTTTTATCTGTAGACTACACCAGAGGGACTTCCTGGTCCCATATATGTATGCAATGTTCGATTCCTCAATCTCTCTGTACAATGCCAATGTCACCTATGTTCATACGTGAATATTTTCCTAGAAGTTCAACATCTCTCATCTGTTGGTACTGTCGGTCAATAAAAAAGATTGAAATATAAAAAATATATGCTTTGTTTATTTTTCAGGTCAAAGGTTTACAACCACTTTAAGAAATGAATATAAAAGATAGAAGCTACTTGGTTGCCATGCCCAACTGCTTCAGACTGCTCCAGTTTTGATAAATCCCCCTCTATGTATCCTCCTTCTGTAATCTAGAAAACGAATGCAGACACCTCACCTAGGATTCTCACTGGCAAGCTGCAGTATTTCAGATGTTTGTTTTTTGGGTTTAGACTTTAATGGGAGAAACTATTGTAATAGATGAGTGTTGAGTGTATGCTTTGGGTTCTGCAGTTCACCCACTTGGGTTCTGCAGTTCACCTCCCAAGATTACCATATGCTTTGGGTATGTTCACTTTTCAGACAGTCACTGAAGTATATAGACCTCCAAGGTATCGTAGCCTCCCTGGCGGTATTCCCGAGTGTAGCTCGGGGTAAAGTTTCAGTACCACAAGCGGTAACCCCGAGCTACACTCGGGCTTACCATGCGGCGCTGCTCCGGGATCTGTTCTTCTTTACCTTGTCCTGCGCTCCCGCGATGTCCCCCCTGCAGTGTCCCCTGTAATGTCCTCCGGCGGATGCCGGCATCTGTCTTCTGGGTTCCGTCCCCTGCGACGTCGGGATGTACGGGGACGGAACGGCGGGCAATTTGAAAATGACAAAAAGTGATATTCACTAAAATCACATAGTAAAACATTACTCTATCAAACCATTTCACATACATTTTGACCCTACTGCTTTGTCCTGTGCCCTGCCTGCATTTTTACTGTTCTTTCTGCCTGGAAACTGAGAAACATCCATGGCATCCAAAAAGCGTCCCTTTAGGTCAAAATCGGTTTTAGACCAGCTAGAGAACAGCGATAGTAAATAAGAACTACTTGCAGAATTGAGTGATAATGATTCGTGGGGAAATTCGTCATCAGACACTGAAAACGATTTTGCGACTTTGCTCAGTGATGTGCGAACTTGGTGCTCTATTTCAAATTTCATTGTTTTTGGTTTGATTATATTATTGAATTAAATTTATTATTATTATATTATTATTTTTTATGATTATTTATTAAATTATAATTTATGATTTCGTGTTTCAAATTTTAACATACCCTGGATGTTTACTAGACTCTTGTTCGGACAGATTTCAGTGAGTTATTCCTAAAAATTACAGGCCTACAATAAAAAAAATACATATTTCCATGCAAAAAAAATGTACCGCTTTGAGCACAGAAATATGGACATAATCAGACCGCTAGGGAGGTTAAGCTGTTTGCTGAGAAGTAACAAAACCGTCACTGGGTATTTGTGCTGCAGTCTCAGTTAAAAGGTTGCGTTATGCTTTAATCTGTTTAATCCAGTTTGAGTAATTATCTACTGTATCCAGATGCAGATCAGTGTTTATGGTTCCAGAACCCATGCAACTTCTACCTACAAAGATTTAAACAGAAAATGCCCAAACCAATAGGCCTTATTTACCAAAGATTACACATGTACTTCGGTTCATCATTTATACATGGACAAGCAAATTGTATCCTTACAGTATTTACTACAGTATGTGCCGTGAGGCATGTGGGGATGCACACACAGGCTTCATGGTATGTATGGTGATTTTAAAAATAAATATGGTTTGTTATGGTGTTCATGTTCAAGTATCTGAATGTGCATCAGCTGAGCCATGGTGTGTTTAAATTAAAAATGTGATCACTAATGCTGTTTGGTCTTTCTAACCACTCTTAAGGATTTTACATGTTCATTTCGCATAGAAACATATTGCACGCTGATTTACGGTCCATGCACGCTGGCTTAAAAAAGTCAGTGCTCTTGGCAGAAAAAAACACAAATTTTGAGTGTTTTTTGTACTAGCAGCCAGACAAATGCTGTCAAAAACGCAAAACAGCTAAAGTTTTTTTTTTCTGCCTCTTAACCACTTGCCTACTGGTCACTTCTACCCACTTCCTGCCAAGGCCAATTTTCAGTTTTCAGCGCTGTCACACTTTGAATGACAATTGTGTGGTCGTGCAACATTGTACCCATATGAAATTTTTATAATTTTTTTCGCACAAATAGAGCTTTCTTTTGGTGGTATTTACACTAGGTGTTTTATTTTTTTGCGCTATAAACAAAAAAAGAGCAAAAAATAGTTTTTCTTTCTTTTATAAAATTTTGCAAACAGGTAATTTTTCTCCTTCACTGATGTGCGTTGATGAGGCTGCACTGATAGGCAGCACTGGCACTGATAGGCAGGACTGATGGGCACTGATGAGGTGGCATGGATAGGCAGCACTGATGGGCACTGATAGGGGGCACTGATAGGAGGCACTGATAGGCAGCATTGATAGGCGGCACTGATGAGGTGGCACTGATGATGCTGCACTGATAGGCAGCACTGATGGCAGCACTGATGAGCGGCACTGCTGGGCAGCACTGATGGGTGGCACTGCCGGGCAGCACTGATGGATGGCACTGCTGGGCACAGGTGGATGGCACTGCTAGGCACAGGTAGGTGGCACTGATGGGCACAGGTGGGTGGTACTGATGGACACTGATGGGGGGCACTGCTGGGCACAGGTGGGTGGCACTGATGAGCACAGGTGGGTGGCACTGCTGGGCACAGGTAGGCGGCACTGATGGGTACAGGAGGGTGGCACTGATGGGCACAGGTGGGTGGCACAGGTGGTCAGCAATGCTGGGCACTGATCATCAGGGCACTGATCATCAGCGTGACAGCGTGAGGAAAGTGCAGCCGATAATAGGCAACTGTATTTACTGGTGATTTGCTGTGTCATTGGACACAGCTGATCATGTGGTCGTTGAACATATCACGTGATCAGCTGTGTTCGTAGGACACAGCGATCACCGGCAGTGCTGGGTGTGCGCCACTGGGGCATGCAGGGGGCGCGTTCTGGAATGACATCCACAGACGTCGTTCCAGAACTAGACAACCGTGCTGTAGCCATCCCTCGGCTATAGCGCGGTTGGGAACTAGTTAATGCTGACCTTAAGAAACGCCTCCATACTACCTAATGTGCATGGACACATTAGTTACTTCTACAGGCAAAATGTTAAACTCCTAGAGGAGCAGCGTTTTTTTTAAGCCAGTGTGCATGGACCAAAAAAAAGCACAAAAAAAGTAACAAAAAAATACCATAATGCATGCTGTACAGGCAGTATCACAGTTTTCATGCCCAGAAATGTGCTTTTTGGTCACATTTAGGGCACAAACAAAAATTTATAGTCTGGTATCTCTGAACAGGTTTTCAGTGATAAATACCCATACAGTGCCTTTTTTGCCCCGCAAAATTCATTTTTTTTTACATGTAACTTTCCTGGGTGCATACACATTTTATTACTTAGTGAGCAAGTTACACTGTTTTTATTTCTTGCAAAGAAAATATTGTCATGTGCATTCCTTTGTGCGTCTTATTAGAACAGAAGGCGCCAAAACAGCATAATTTGGGTGTTGCATGGCAAACAAGAACTGCAGCATACATATTGAACAAAATTTACTAGGTAGGTTTGGGGATTATGTTTGCTATACACACTTATCCACCTGCTAACGTGAACCCACAATGGAAGGATACCATTTTGCTGTTCTTATCCATGCTGTTCTTGTCCATTTTTCCTTAGAAAATGAGGCCGAGTGAATTTTCAACATCAGCTAACCCAGCAATAGTAGAATACATTAAAAAAATTCAACTGATTTTAGAACTGATTTCATCTTTTCTTCAACTATGTATTGTTTTAATGTAAGCGATTGTTTTTAAAGCTGAACTTCAGGGATATTTGCTCTCCACAATGGTTAAATGCTCATTTGTGTCTAAAGTACCATTAAAGAGCAGTTTTACTTACCTTTTTGCCTTTCTCCCCTATCATTGGGTGTTCTCCTTTTCCCTTCTACATTCTGGGTTGTGGACAGGCTCTTGACATCTTCACGTTCATTGCAGGACTGGTGATCCTGCATTGTATGTGATGATGTCAGAGTGCAACTGGTTTGGAAGACTGGTTGCATGGAGAGGAGGAAGTCTTCAGGAGTGAAGGATAAGGCAAGTAATGGTACCCTAGATATGGGAGGCAGTGCAAAGCTAGTTTTTAATTTTGCCCGGAGTTCAGCTTTAACCACTTCCCGTCCGGCCGCTGTTTATAAACGGCAGGACGGGACACCTACAGGAGCGGGTTGCCGTCTCTAAACGGCACCTTGTATGTGAGGCTCATGCGCGGCTCCTAGAGCGCGCACCCGCGAGCCCGATGATCGCCGAGTCCGACGGACACGGTGGATTACGTGACATGGTATGGGACCAATGAAATCGGTCCCATACCATGTGATCAGCTGTGTCCAATAAGGACACAGCTTAAGTGTAAACAAAAGCCGCATGGTGCGGCTTCCGCCTCCTTCTCCTCTCACGGAGTTGTCTGTGAGAGGGAGAAACAGCGAAGAAGAGGGTTGTAGCTAACTGCCCTCCACCTCAGTGACACCTGATCGCCCCTAAAGTGGCCCTGATCGCCCCTAAAGTGGCCCTGATTGCCCCCCCAAGTGGCCCTGATTGCCCCCCCAAGTGGCCCTGATTGCCCCAAGTGGCCCTGATTGCCCCAAGTGGCCCTGATCGCCAACAAGTGGTCCTGATCGCCAACAAGTGGCCCTGATCGCCCCCACATAGTGGCCCTGATTGCCCCAAGTGGCCCTGATTGCCCCAAGTGGCCCTGATTGCCCACAAGTGGCCCTGATCGCCCAACATGTGGCCCAGCAGTGTCCCTGATTGTCAGTGTCCCTGATCACCACATAGTGGCCCAGCAGTGTTCCTGATCGCCACAGTGTCCCTGATCGTCACAGTATCCCTGATCGCCGCAGTGGCCAAGCAGTGTCCCTGATTGCCACACAAGTGGCCCAGCAGTATCGCCGCAGTGGCCAAGCAGTGTCCCTGATTGCCACACAAGTGGCCCAGAAGTGTCCCTGATTGCCGCAGTGGCCCAGCAGTGTCCCTGATCACCGCAGTGTCCCTGATTGCCGCACAAGTGGTCCAGCAGTGTCCCTGATCGCCGCAGTGGCCCAGCAGTGTCCCTGATCACCGCAGTGTCCCTGATTGCCGCACAAGTGGTCCAGCAGTGTTCCTGATCGCCACAGTGTCCCTGATTGCCGCACAAGTGGTCCAGCAGTGTCCCTGATTGCCGCAGTGTCCCTGATTGCCGCAGTGGCCCAGCAGTGTCCCTGATCGCCACACAAGTGGCCCAGCAGTGTCCCTGATCGCCGCACAAGTAACCCAGCATTGTCCCCGATTGCCGCACAAGTGGTCCAGCAGTGTCCCTGATCATCACAGTGGCCCAGCAGTGTTCCTGATCACCGCAGTGTCCCTGATTGCCGCACAAGTGGTCCAGCAGTGTCCCTGATCACCGCAGTGTCCCTGATTGCCGCACAAGTGGTCCAGCAGTGTCCCTGATTGCCGCAGTGTCCCTGATTGCCGCAGTGGCCCAGCAGTGGCCCTGATCGCCACACAAGTGGCCCAGCAGTGTCCCTGATCGCCGCACAAGTAACCCAGCATTGTCCCCGATTGCCGCACAAGTGGTCCAGCAGTGTCCCTGATCACCACAGTGGCCCAGCAGTGTCCCTGATCACCGCAGTGTCCCTGATTGCCGCACAAGTGGTCCAGCAGTGTCCCTGATCGCCGCAGTGGCCCTGATTGCCACAGTGGCCCAGCAGTGTCCCTGATCACCGCATTGGCCCAGCAGTGTTTTTGATCACCACACAAGTGGCCCAGCAGTGTCCCTGATCCCCACATTGGCCCAGCAGTGTTCCTGATCACCACACAAGTGGCCCAGCAGTGTCCCTGATCGCCGGACAAGTGGTCCAGCAGTGCCCCTGATCACCAACGTGTCCCTGATCACCGCAGTAGTCCAGCAGTGTTTCTGATTGCCACACAAGTGGCCCAGCAGTGTCCTGATCATCGCAGTGGCCCAGCAGTGTCCCTGATCGCCGCAGAAGTGGTCCAGCAGTGTCCCTGATCGCCGCAGTGTCCCAGCAGTGTCCCTGATCACCGCAGTGTCCCTGATTGCCGCAGTGGCCCAGATCACCACACAAGTGGCCCAGCAGTGTCCCTGATCACCACACAAGTGGCCAGCAGTGTCCCTGATCGCCGGACAAGTGGTCCAGCAGTGCCCCTGATCACCGCAGTGTCCCTGATCACCGCAGTTGCCCAGCAGTGTTTCTGATCGCCACACAAGTGGCCCAGCAGTGTCCTGATCATCGCAGTGGCCCAGCAGTGTCCATGGTCGCTGCACAAGTGGTCCAGCAGTGTCCCTGATCGCCACAGTGTCCCTGATTGCCACAGTGTCCCTGATCGCCACACAAGTGGCCCAGCAGTGTCCCTGATCACCATACAGTGGCCCAATCAGTGTCCCTGATCACCTGACAGTGTGCCTGTTCATAAAGTGTCCCTGATCTCTGCCACACCAGTGGATCCTGTTCACTGCCATCGTCTGTGAGGAGAGAGATCCAGTACAGCTAACTGTGAGTAATTTTCAGCCTTTGCACAGAGTTTACACACACTCACAAAACATTGCCAGCCACCTCACTGTATCTCTGATTTTTGCCCAACAGTGACTAGTGTGAACCAACTGCAGCCAGATATCTGTCCCTCACTGCAAAACCAGCCTGATCACTGTCATACCAGTGGGTCCTGATCAGTGTCAAAAATATGGCCAAAAGATCATATACAAGCGAGGAGGCATTTCAAATTCTGAGTATGACAGATGAGAGTGACGGAGAACTTAAAACATACCTTGGGGTGTTTGCTTTCCAAAATGGGGTCTTTTTATGGATAATTCCATTGTCCTGATGCTCCAGGACCTCCAAAACAGCAATAGGTAGTTAAGAAATTAGATGTGCGATCTTTGCCCTTAGAACGCTAACAGGTGCTTATTGGATGTGGAACCCCTCTATGTGGCCAGACTGTGAAAAAGTCTCACACATTTGGTATCACCATATTCAGGAAGAGTTAGAGAATGTGTTTTGGGGTGTAATTTTAAGTATGCCTATGCAGTGTATTAGAAATATCTCATAGATTGACAACTTTGTGTAGAAAAAAATACATTTTCATTTTCTTTTCGCATTTTCCAAAAACTTGTGGCAAAAAATGAAGTCTTCAGAGGACTCCCCATGCCTCTTAAAACATACCTTGGGGTGTTTGCTTTCCAAAATGGGGTCATTTTGTGGATAATTCCATTGCCCTGATGCTCCAGGACCTCCAAAACGGCAATAGGTAGTCAAGAAATTAGATGTGTAATTTTTGCCCTTAGAACGCTAACAGGTGCTTATTGGATGTGGAACCCCTCTATGTGGCCAGACTGTGAAAAAGTCTCACACATTTGGTATCGCCATATTCAACAGGAGTTAAAGAATGCGTTTTGAGGTATCATTTTAAGTATGCCTATGCTGTGTAATAGAAATATCTCATAGATTGACAACTTTGCGTAAAAAAAAATACCTTTTCATTTTCTTTTCACATTTTCCAAAAACATGTGGCATAAAATGAAGTCTTCAGAGGACTCCCCATGCCTCTTAAAACATACCTTGAGGTGTTTTCTTTCGAAAATGGGGTCATTTTGTGGATAATTCAATTGTCCTGGGGCTCCAGGACCTCCAAAACTGTGATAGACAGTCAAGAAATTAGATGTGTAATTTTTGCCCCTAGAACGCCTAAGGGTGCTT